TGTGTGTATAATTACTGTTGATATTGTAAGGATTCGAGATGGGTGGGGTTTGCTTTTTCTGTTTTCTTGAGCTGGGTGAGTGGGCGTGGTCGCAGTTCTCGGGCTGTTCAGCTTGTGGTGTTTGGCATCGTCAAGCTGGTGAAGAACAGCGGTGTGCCAGCTGTGCTTCAGCTCTGTGGTAATGGGCTCATTCCAGGAATCTCCAGCTGTAATCTTCGTCTTCTCGTCATCCCTCTGTAGAGCTACTCCTACTAAGATCGCTCGTCTGTTTACTCTGTTCGCCCCCCCGGAGAACAGCGTTAGGCACGGATTCCTCACTTCGGACTTCCACGCCTCACCTGCTTACCTGGATTTCTCCTCATCACCTTCCTGCACCTTTCGCAAACGTCCAGCCACCTGCCCGTCTGCTCCCATTAATCTAACGTTACTGTGTGTGCGCTTATCACCGGTCTTTGTCCTCTTCCTTTCTCCTCAGGTCCTTCCCATTTCACCTGCTCACCAAGTGTTTCCATTTTCCTTCTTTAATTCACCATAAATCAACTTTTTTACGTGTTTGTATGACTGAGTTGGTTTGCTCCTTTGAATCCACTCTTAGTGAAACATGGCAGAGATAATATAATTTCATGATGTTATTAAATATATAGTATAAAAGCACAAAACCTTAGAATAACTCAAGTTGGTAAAGAAGTTCTTTGATGATTTGTAAGTACTTTGAGACTTTAACGATGTTGTAATCTTTGACTTCCTTTATCAGAGGATATTAACAGGAAGGACAGATAAGTGACTATTTTCCTGCTTCGGTCAGAGCATCATGTGACGCCATGCCAGTAGCAGCTTTGCAACCAAGCAGGCTGGCCTTAGCTCACTTTCTTAAAGAGCATGTTCTCCTTCTGAACTTCCTTCTTTTTAACAGCAGTCAGGCTACATGGTTCACTGTAACTGTGCTAAAACCCCCTCATTTCGTTGTTAAATCACTCGTTCACTTGGTAAGGAAACATTTCACTGTTACTCTCTAAAACTAATAATTATTTATTCTTTTACTTAAATGAAAGATGCATTAAGTAATTTTAAATGTAATATGTATTAAATTTTACTTAGTTGTGTTGTTGTTTTACATGAACTGTGTTATTATAGATTCAGAGAGATCACTGCTAAGAAAAAAAATGTTGTTAAATAGGGGAAGTTCTCTTGTGAAACAACTTTAACAGACTGTCGGTGCTGTTTTAAAACTTCATGTGTGGAATGATTAGATAAACAGATTTCTTTGTGTTTGTGTGTTAAAATGCAG